TGTGGGTGTGGGTTGGGGTGGGATGTGGTTGTGTACGCGTTGTATTCATGGTATCCCCCTCCCTCTGTGGTGTGGGTTCGGGTGGGAAGGGGGTTGGCATCTGCTGCATGGGGAATATATAATATTATACAATAGCTGGTGCATCCAAATAAGTGGTACATGGGTGCTATGTGGTAGTATGTATGTAGCACATATGTATGTAGTACACGGGTAGTGTCCATCTATTTGTAACCGTTTTCTTTTTATAGGTAGTATATAAGTTTCGGCCCGAGGCCTCCCAGGGGTAAACTCGGTTCAACTAAAGCTCGGGTCATCTTGTCGGTTTGCAATGGTTTCTCAGATCTTTGGCGCATCTTTGAATGCTAGCTGTTTTGAGGGGAAGCTGCTCATCACTTCTCACGTTGATGGATCGTCCATACGGCATCGCATTCCATGCAGCTCTCCCGTGATGGTCATCAACAAGATCATTCCTTTGTGCACGGTGTCCATCTATGGCTTCCTGAACCATGGCATGGACGATTTCTTGTACCTGCAAGCTGGAGAGGCTTCATGGTTGTGTTCCATCAATGTCTCTGAGCAAGACTTATCGCCTCTGATCCTTGAGCTTTGTGCGGGCATGGGAGGGATGGGTATTGGTGCTTCCTTCCTTGGTGGCATGCCTAGCCTTTCCATTGACTCAAATGAATTGGCCTGTTGTCATTTGATGGCAAATTCCCATGGCAAAGTTTTGAAGTTGGATATCAATCAGGCACACAGTGCCAAGATCATTCACCAGGAATTTGGTGGTTCTCCGGGTACCATCACTTTTGGATTCCTTGTCAGCCACTCTCTAGTCAGGGAATGCAATTGGGCAGTCAGGATACTATAGGTTCCAAACGTTTTGGAAAGGTTTCCGCATTATTTTATGTTGAATCCCCAGTCTGCCATGCTTGAGTGCGTATCAGCAGTTGGTGATAACGTTGAAGTGATGGAGGTTATCAACGCTCTTGCAGCCTGTTTGGGTTGCACTGTCCTCACCGTGAAACTGGCTCTTCATGCCCAATGGCCTTGCCGACGGCTTCGGTGGTGGGCCAGGCTCTTCTGATGCCTCATGCCTGGCGCACTTATGGACTTCACCAGTGGCCAGACTCCAGTCCTTATCATCAGGTGGTTGGAGACCTCTTCAAGTGTTGGGGCCAAAGGACTGACTCTGAGGAAACTGATTTGCAATTGTTTGACTTTGAAACTGCAAGCATATCTGAATCCTTCGTTTGGAAGGGACAAAAGAGTGCTGGAGTTTTCTGATGTTGCAAACACCTTTCTCCATTCCTACGGGAATGCCCTCATGAAGTGTCCATGTGAATGCCGTCAATCAGGGTTTAGCCAGCATTCCCTGTTGCAGAAAGGGCTTAGAGGATGTTTTGTGCAGTCAGGGGTGCATCACAATCCCAGATATCTGCATCCGTACTCCGTGGAGTATCCATGTCAACCTCGTGAACATCTGGCTTTGTTAGGCCTCATTGCCTCTCCTTTGTAAATGGTTTGGATGTATGTTCACCTTTGCAACAGCTTTGCACAGGCCAACGACCTTCGCCCAGTTCCTTCTCCTTTGGAATGGTTGAGATCCTACCAGAATGATCTCCTTCGCCAAGTCCAACAGCTTTTTCATATAAATGATCAGGTCCCACAAACGCTGCATCTGCGTGACCCTGACGGGCATGATTTGGCCATCCACTGCCCTATGGCTTGTACGGCGGCTCAACTGCTGGCGGCACACAGAATCTGTTTGGCATGGAATGAAGCTGGCGGCATCTTGATGGACGGAAACCAACTTCCTTTGGGAGCATTTCTCAATCGACTGAGCTCTCCATTCAGGCCGGAACCCCGGCACGACCTGCTCCACCCACAGTCTTTGCGGTTGGCATCACTCATTTGGGTGCCTTCGACATGTGCTTCCTGAACGCCGGCCAGTTCCTGTTTGAAGCACTGCGGAGCTTGGACATTCAGATGGTCAACTTTCTGATGGACATGGAGGGCAAGGTTGATGGAGCAGATTTCAGAGTTTGGAAGACCATGCGCCTCACCACTTTGCAGAACTGGCCTCCGACCATGCCTCTGCGCGCTGCGGGCCAACGGGCACATCACATGGACCCTTCAACCATGCTGCAACTTCATGCAGGACATCAAAAGCCGATTTTGTTTTTACCCAAGGATGCAATGGATCCCTTTCTGCCCCTTCAGCACTGATGTCTGACTTCGTTCGTTCTGGCGACAGGATCATCTGCATCTTTCCAGCCCAAGCTCACTGGGCACTGTTGTGGGGCCAATTGAATGTGAATGTCCTTCGATGGCTTTACTGTGATGGACTCCCAGGCCATGTCGATATGGCAGCCACTGAACTTGCGGCCTGGATCTCTGATGAGCTTTCTCTTGGTTGGGCTTTGGATCCAGGACACCTTTTCCAGCAGTCAGATGACCACGCGTGTGGTACTGTGGCCCTGTTGCACGTCGGCCCGTGATTAATTGGATTTTTTGGACTTCCATCCAGATCCGACGTTGTGGATTTTCATTCATGGCTCTTGCACCGGCCTGCACTTGGACTTCCCCATCTTGACCCCTGGATTTATGGGTCTGGGCCAACTATCATTGACTTACAAGCCCAACTGGCAGCTCTTCTTGCCACGAAAGGTGTCCCTACTGCCTACTGCGAATGCAGCAAAAAGTGTCCGGCTGCCATCAAGAAGCTGGGAGCACCATCAATTGCCAACCCCTGGCACGCCCTTAAAGCTTTGACCAGCAAACCGGGCAACAACTTCCAGTACGTCCTCAGATCTGATTTGATGGACTTTATGGACTCCAAAGCGGCATCAAAACGTGGAGCTCAGATCTCAATGCAGAAGAAAAAGAAGAAGAAGAAGGACAAGAAGCAGAACAAAACACCTTCAGCACCTCCGGTGGCGCCAGATCCTTCCACTATTCAGCTCAATCCAGCTCACTTCATCGACGATGAGCGTGACCAAGTGGAACAAATCCCATTGGCACAGGTTACAGCTGACTCTCGTGGACTTGCTGTTGCTTCTCTCTCAGAGGCCTTGCCGTACCTCCGAGAACCGAAGAACATCTCTTCTGACTTCTGCCCTGGGTTTGATGATCACTGAGGAGATTCCCCACAATCTGAAATCACAAGCCAACGTGGTTTCCATCTGTTTTCCGGCCACTTACTTGCCAACTTCCGATCCTTTGCTGATCAACGACTGTCTTCTCCAACTTGGTGATCATCCCATCTCCAGACAGAAAGTGCAAGACCCAGCCAATAGCATGGACTTAGCCGCCACCAATGTCCTGAAGATCCAGCTGTTCAGAGATGAGCTTGGCTCCATATGGGAGGACGTGATGGACGTGGCCAACTTACCCATACGGCCATACGGCAGTTGTTTCGCTTGGTGCCCCTCTTCAAGTTGTGCACTGCCATTTCTTGCAGCCATCGCTGTGGCCACTACCAGGCGGCAGTTGAGGACAGCATGGATCAGATGATGTTGGATCTGTGGGGTAGGAGATTTCAATCTCTGGAAGGCAAAACACTAAGTTGAACTTTGAGCATTCCGATACTTGGCACTTGCGTCAAAGGGGAGGCTTTTGATGACAAAATATGAGAAGGGCATGCAGGGCATTGTCCAGGATCTCAAACCACCATGTCGAGACAGATTGGATTTACTCCTTCACTCCAAAACATTGGCAGTTCTTGCGGTGGACAATGAAAGTGGCATGTTGCATTTGGATGCTCCATCACCATGTCTGGCTTTTCCCGTTGGACGGTTGATGATATGACCATTGAGCCTCAGATTGTCAATGAAGTGGTGATCCAATTACCCGATGTTTCGACCATTGGACTTGGAGATGTGGTTGAACAGCGTTGTTTCCAATCTGAGACTCAGGCTCTGCATGAAGAGCTGCTCAGCTACTGGACTCCAACTTGGCAAGCGATGTCAACAGTTGAACCATCAACCTGGAATTGGGTGATTGCTTTTTTCCAAGCTCATGTTCCTCAGCTCCAGATGCAGCTTGGTCCCATTTCACCTGACCAATGGTTTGGAGCACTGCGAAAGTACAGAACAAATGCTGCTAGAGGAGTTGACGGCATCTCGCCCAAAGACTTGCTCTCTTTGCCCATGGCTTGGACTTTGAGGTTGTTGGATCTTTTGCATGCAATAGAGCTTGGCCAATCTGACTGGCCTACTGCCATTTTGTACGGTGTTGTCAATGTTTTGGCAAAGGATGAGGGAGCTTCCACAGTTGATCGTTTTCGACCAGTGGTGGTCTTTAGTGTGATTTACCGTACGTGGGCAAGGGTGAGAGCCAAGCAGCTTCTCAGATGGCTCACACCACTGATGGATGTGGAAGCTTTTGGCTTCATGCCAGGCTGTGAACCCTCCCAACCTTGGCTGGTTCTTCAAGCAGAAATAGAAGTAGCACTCCAAACCCATACCTCGCTATGTGGATTGAGTACTGACCTCAATCAGGCCTTTAACTTCATCCCACGTCAGCATTCCTTTGCGTTGGCGGAGCATGTGGGGGTACCATCATTTTTTTTGGTGCCGTGGCAATCCTTCTTGACCAATTGCACCCGTGCATTTCATGTGCGGGGTTGCTTGAGTGCCACTACTACCTCATCTTGCGGTTTGCCTGAAGGAGATGTTATGAGTGTTTATGGCATGACTCAATTGTCATTTTCCATGCTTGGCCTGTATATGCGGGCCTTCAGCCCCTCAGTGCGTGCGATGAGCTTTGTGGATAACCTCAGCCTGCTCTCTTCGGCTCCTGGTTTTCTGGCACATGGTCTTGCGTGCATCATTGAGTTTTCCGGGTGTGGAACATGGCAATCGATGCTGGAAAATCTTACTGCTGGGCACTTTGTGATGACCAACGGAAACAGCTTAACCTTTTACCGTTACCTTTCAAGAGGGTGGAGCATGCTCATGAGCTGGGCAGAGTCCTTTCTTTTACTAGGCGCAGATTCACTGGCCTTCAGCAAAAGACGATTGCTCGACTCCCTAGTCGCTGGCAGAGATTGAACAGTCGTGCACCTCTACGACAAAAGCTTGCAGCAATCCCCTCGGTTTTCTGGGCCGCTGCCCTCCACGGCATCAATGGTTCATGTGTGGGTGAGCATAACCTGGACAGGCTCAGAACCCAGGCGATGAAGCATGGTGGAGTGAATGGACTGCTTAGGTTGTCTCTCTCGACAACTCCTGCGGCTGACCCTGAATGGTGGCGCCTGAAGCACACATTGACTGCTTTCCTTCGGCTCTTGCGAAAGGAACCAAGGCTGTTATCAGAATGGAAAAGCTTCACGTGGAATTTTGATGGATCCCTTTTCAGTGGCCCTTTTTCTCAAATGCTGGTTGTTTTGGGACAGATTGGATGGCATATTAATCCACCCCTTTTTGTATGACCATGACCACTGTCGTTTTAACCGGCTTACCACGGATGATGTGGTGCTGCTGCCAGTGTTGTGGGTTGCATGGCTCCAGTTTGTTGCGCGACAAGTGAGTTCTCGCAAAACTATGGCTGGCCTGCATGGGTTGGATCCTCATCTTCTGGACTACATCTCTCAGAATTTGAACAGCCAGCCTTGAGCAGGCTTGGCTTGGTGCGCTGCAATCTGGGGCGTTTATGGATCGAGCGGCGCAAGCTCACTTTGATATGGACAAGGACTCTCTTCGTCCTTTGTGTGGCGTGAAGGACACCCAGAGCCATTGGCTTGACTGCCCTCGCTATGCCTGGGCGCGCGCTGAAGTGGAATGTTGGCAAAATCATCATGGGCATGACGCTGTGGCGTTGCGTTCTCATCTGCTGCCATCCAGATCTCCATTTGCGGCGGCTTGGAAACGAGCCCTCTTGGAGATACCCGACACCACGGGGTGCTTTCTCTCTAGTCCTGGCCAAGGTGTCCAACATGTGTTTACTGACGGCCCAGCTACCATGCCATTGACACCAACGAGAATGGCAGCATGGGCTTGCATTAAATTAATGCTTCAACAGCTGAGTTTGTAGCCATGGGGTATGTGCAGGGTATCCATCAATCAAGTGACAGAGCGGAATTGCTGGCGGTGCTGAGTGACATCCAATGGCAGTGCCACTTCGGCACGATTATGCATTTGCAATGTGGATTGACTCAAAGTTTGTAGCCGATGGCCTTTCCTGTGTTCTTCAGCCTGGGTGATAGGAGATTGGTCTCATCAAGACCTATGGGAAAGGGTTCGTCAGTTGCTGCAACAACTTGGACAGTATGAGTTGATTCCACATTGGATTCCAAGCCATTTATATAGATGAAGCCAAACTGCAAGATCCTTACAAGGATTGGGCGCGATGTTCGAATGACCAGATCGACGCTGCAGTAGGGCACTACAACCAGTGCAGACCTCATGATTTTCTTCAACTTTGAGATGACTATCAGAAACACTTTGAATTAGGAGCTGTGAGATTACGGCAACTGCGGTCTTTTTACTTCAAAGTGGCGGCCGGAAGGCCTGAAGAGCTGAGTGAACCCAATGAGCGTGGCGATGTTTCACTTTTTGGTCTTGCGGATGAGTTGCAAATTTCATTTGGCGATGTGTACAATTTAGATGCCAATGAACTTGTCAGCAGCTCTGATTGCAGGCCTCCAGATTTTGCTGGGCTTTTCATTTCTGCTCTGGTTAATCATTTGGCTGATCACATTGATGACACTTCTGGTGTGTATCCTTTTTTGTTTTGAAGAAATGACCTTGTGGTTGATCAAAGATTTGCATGTTTTGATTCCCTTCAAAAATGCGGGAAATGGAGAGATTGAACCCCAACGGATTGAAACCCGCTTTGAGAGACCCACGTTCGCCTTCGTTTTGACGCTGGTTCGTCGTGCTTTGATTTGGTTTTTCACTGAGTGTTGTGATGGTGCTGATGTTTTGTTTTTCAATTTCAACAAAGTGGATCTCAATGTGTACAGACCCACGGCGGGAATTTTTGCTCGGCCCTCATGTAGAGCAATTTCTAGATGCCAGGCACTGCTTGGCCAGTTCACCCGGAGCCGGGCGATTCGTCGGGCATGCGACGTCGCTCGGCCTATTTAGGCAAAGACATGTGGCCAGTACGACACTGCCCACACGCTGTGCCCACTGTGACCGAAGAAATATGTCCGCGCTATATAGGTAGTAAATAGGCAGTGTATATAGGTAGTAAATATGTAGAGTGTATAGTATATACGTAGAACATGTAGGTACCATACATACATATACATTAATAAACACATACATGATACATGTACATATGCATCAGTAGTATGAGGTATCTAAGTAGTGTATGTGGTTGCCCCCTCCCGTGTGGTGTGGGTGGTGGGGGGATTGCGGGGCTGATGCAACTTGTCAGTCGCAGATGAATAGGACAGAGGTGGTATATAGTAGGTTGCATAGCGGCATATAGCGGCATGGAAAGATTATATAATATGTATTGGTCGGGTTACATATGAGTGATTTATATATAGATACGCAACTGATCGTATGTAAGTGGAAACAAATACATAGATGTATATAGGTAATATGTAGACAGCATGCAGGTAGCACATAGGTGATACCAAGGTATTTTGTAGGAAGTATACGGCTCTAAAATGCTGCACATAGGTTGCAAGTGGGGCTCTGAAATGCTGCACATAGCATGCAAATGGGAGGCCGTGAATCTGAAATGCTGCAATGCTGCAAATAGCATGCAAATGTGGCAGATTTTGGGGAAAGGGCGGGTACCATACCATTGGGGGGAGGGGGAGGCTACCGAACCGGGAACCGGGAACATAATATACACTCCCATGGATACACAAATTACATTATGATACATTATGATATAATGATACGTATTACCTCTATAAATATGGAACATGTATGTGCAACACATGAACAAACATCACTAGTCGTTCTCGCTGAATTGCTTCGATATGCCAACGGTGACGCAACGAGCCCATGATTCAGTCGTGCGTGTTGTCCCTGCCTGTAGCGGTAAAGGTCTGCTACGGGAAGTGGGGCGATGGAAACTATGCCACTGGCAAGCCAGCAAAGGGCTACCGATGCAAATCCAAGAAATCTATTAAGCGTCGCATGCTCAGACAAATTGTTCATCTTTGTTTGTGGATTTGCTTAAAATGGGCTGCGAGGAAGCTTTTCAAAGGAAGCCAACGAAAACGGATTGAGGAACACGTGCATCAATCAAGTAAACAAATGAAGAGAACGTGGCGCACAATACAATCATCGGAACCTAGATTTGCACCTATTGGAACCGACACTGGTACCCTGACAATATGAACTTCAAAACCATTTGCACGCATTGAGACAGAGAAACTTTGATCATGATTACTGCTAGCCTCTTGATCCTTTTGTTTGGCACTGAGGTCAGGCAGACAAGTGGTCACACACATGCCAGCTGGCAGCATTCAATGGTGAACTCAATGACATGAAACCTATGTTTACAACAAACATCACACAGGTTTCCTTGTGAGGACATAATATGGCAAATACAGTAATTAAGTATATACTTTACATAAAATCATGTGCAAAGTAGTTTCCCACCGGGTAAATCATTGGGATTGCTTTTTGTTGAACAACTTTTGATTCTTGGAAACTTTTAGCCATTGCATCAGGTCATGACCCATTAACCTGGCATGGATCATCCCCACTTCTGGAGCAACACTGGGGGCTTGTCCAATCCGGAGCCCCTGGAACACTGCAATTTGCTTTGGTTTATTTTGGTTTTATTTTACCTGCTTTACATTTACTCGATTTTACTTGAACATTCTTGAACAACTTTATCCCCCATCAGTTTTCTTGCAGGTTTGCATTTGGATCATGGACTGTTGCCGGGGATTTGCTTCGTTTTGTTCTTTTTCTATCATTTTCTGGATTTGTGGGCCCAGTCAGGAACTGCAGTGCAGTATTGCCAATGCTTTGTTTTTTCTGGTGTCCTGACAACTATTGGTCGAAGCCTTGGCTTGGCAACTCGCTCCGTGACAAACTTCCAGTCAGCACACGATGTGAACTCGGACCGCGGAGTCTCAAAGTTTCTTATCTGAAGGAAGGACAAGGCCTTTCCCCCTGCGCGATGGCGCTGGTACTCATTATACCTCTCATTGTACAGTATCTCATTCGTACTGTTGCTTATCCTAACAAGCCTAACAAGCGCTTTCTTGATTCCATATTGACCGGCTCAGGTTTTTCTTTTCCACGCCAGAGGGCATTTGGGATCCCGTGGATTTTCCAGATGAACTATGCCCAGATTGGTGTGAGAAGTCCAAGAAATGCGAAGGCTGTGAGACAGCGTTTCTAACCCGTCTTTCAGTCAGTTTTTTTGCATCCTCTCAATATTCATCTTGGTTTTTGGTATATTTTTGGTATTTCACAACCTAAACGGGTGGACATGGCCCATGTACAGACAATGTATAAATATAAATATATATATATACTGTATATATATATATGTGTGTGGCAGGGACCTTTGGGGTCTATTTCATTCCTTTGCATACAAGCATGTAATTAGTGCTTTTTCTTTGTTTTCCCTTTCTCTTCTCCTTTGGACGTTTAACTTGTTCATTCCTTCTGTTTCCACTAAAGTAGACTAAACTAGACTAAAACTAAGCTACTAGGCTAAGCAAGAATAAACTGAATTAGCTAGACTAGACTCAACTAGACTAAACCAAGCTAAATTACACTAAAGTAGACTATCAATAAACTAAGTAGCCTAAAGTAGATTGAAGTAGACTAAAGTATGCTAAACTAGGCCATAATAGACTAAAGTAGACTACAGTAGACTAAAGTAGCCTAAAGTAGAATGAAGTAGACTAAAGTGGGCGAAACTAGACTAAAGTAGACCAGTAGACCAACGTAGACAAAGATAGGCGAAACTAGATAGACTAAACTGGTTTCAGCTGGACTGAGCTGAATTTATCTTGGTTGAACTAGACTAGAGAAAATTCTGCATCATCTAAATTTTGATGTTTATGGGCACAAAATTACGCTAAATCAGAGCAACCTAGATTAAATTAAGCTAGACTAGGCTAAATTAGGCTCAATGAGACTAACCTTGACTAAACTAGGTTAAACTAGACTAATGTAGAATAAACTAGATTAAACCAGACTATACATGACTAAACTAGATTAAAACATATGAGTTATCAGAATCCAAAAGTGCGTAAACAAGGATTATGCAAAAAACACTGAAACTCTAAAAATCAGAAATGAACATATGAACGTGCATATAAACTGCAGACCGCGCAATTTGCGCAATCAAGGTGCGCAATGCGCGCGACCCAAGGTGCGCAATGTGCGCAGCCCAAGGTGCGCAATGTGCGGGGTCAAGGCGCGTAATGTGCACAACCAATGTGTTGCCAATTGCACAACAGGATGGCTCAGGATGACAACAAAACATGTTCATTTTAAGAACCAAATATTTTGCAACATATGGTTCAGCGGAAGTCGAGAGCGCGCTATTTTTCCAAAACGAAAAACCACTAAGTCATGAACATGTGGGAGTGAACATGTGACTGATGGGGCGGCTGGTTACCCATACAGGTGGAACGCACAGGTGGGCAAAGGGGTGAACAAACAGTGAACAGATGGAAAGGACACTCTGGCTCTGGTGCTTTTGTTAAGTCTGCCATTGATGGGCAACGGGGTTGGCAAGGGCGTGCCTCTACAACTGTGCAATCCTTCTCGGTCTTCAGAGACTTGCCCTTGAACTGGCTGAACATAGATTGAACACATACATATTTTGTGAATTATATCCGGGACACAACATGCTAGGGCCACCTTTGTAACCGGCCAACATCCTGCATAAATCCTTCAAGTTTCTATATTTCTTGCATCAGCTTAGCTTGACGACCTTTTTAAAATCTACTTCAGGGAAACTCAATGCTGACTTCTCTGAAGAACTTGTGGGAACTTATGTTCTTGCTTTCACGAGGTTCTCCTACGTTACCCAAAAGGAAAGAATGGAAAGGATACTTTGTCTACGTAAGGTTTTCGACAACAAGACATTTATATACTGTATTGGGAAGGGATAATGTTCATCCTGAAGCTCTTGAAACGCTTCTGAAAAAGTTCTTGCTATCTTAGTGTATATCTTGAGACGGGAGATCTTGAAAAAGAAGTTTGTGGAAAATGGTCTTGAAAGAGAAATCAAAAACGGATTGGACAAACATGATTCTGAAAGGAAAAGTCCTGACTCAGACGAAAAAAGCATCCGAAAAAGGAAACTAACGAGTAAAAATGCTGTTGCTGACAAAAAGGTTTCCAGGTAGCTGAATTTACGGCAAACATAGAGAAACATGTTTATCTTCACCTGCTGCAAAGGATCGTTCAAAGGATCGTTCTAAGTTTTGAGGAAAAAATGGTTGGAAAAGAAAAATACATATCCTGAAAACAATTGCTAAAGTAAAAAACTGTCCCTCATTGTAGGTTCTATTAACCAGCTGGATTAAACCCACCCCGTTGCCGTTGTATATATTATTGTTTTTGGTGCTTGGGACATGATGCAGGAACAACACACCAACCATGTTTCGAACAAAAAAAGTAAACTAGGTTGAGTTCACGAGTTTGTCTACCAACAAGACGCGTTTGATGTAGAAACCCTTTCATTTTTTTTGGCCAATGTGAGTTCTACAAACTGTTGATGCTCCCAAATTGGAGAAGTTCCCCGCGCGAAGGCCCTCAAATTTTGGCACGCAGGTAAAGGTTTGCAACATCTCGAACTTGCTCATTTGAGAATTTCCCCTCTGTGACAAATTTTGGCAGGTAGCAGTTTTCATCACTTGAGATTCTTGATTGGGAGAAGCTGTTACTTGGAGAAACTCTTAATCTCTGAGGTGTCTGAACTTTGAGATAAGATAAGCTCAACGTTTTGAACTTTTGAAATTGGATAAGCTGTCACTTGCTGAGTTATCAACTTCCTGCAGCAGGCATATACGTTTTCAAGCGTTTATTTTTTAGGCTTGAGATGCTGCCAGTCTCTCAACACTTGACGTTTTGAAACGTTTAAGCTGGAGAAGCTGTCAGGTTCTGGAAATTCTCAACTCTTTGCTGGTAGATGCTTTCAAGAGTTTGAACTTGTTAAGCTGGAGGGGCTGTCAAATGCTGAAGCGTGCATTTGTTTGACCAGTATAAGTTCGCATGTTTGGTTTTCTTGAAGTGCACAGGACAAGGACAAGCTTTGAATTTTGGACTGATTTCTTTTTCTAGCCAGGATGCATGTTCAAACCTCTATAATAATCTTTGGAAATTGGAGGAGGCATCACTTTTGAAAATGCCTACCGGCTTGACATCGCCAGCAAACATGTTTGACAAAGTGCGTTTGATGATGTGTTCTACATTTTCTATTTCTATTGGTGTTTTCAATTTCTTCATGTTGTTTTGTTTTTTCATTTCTGGAAAAGGGTTGATTGGAAATTGTCCGAATTGCTTAAACCTTCAGATGACTGGTCTGCCTACAAGGCTGGCTATATATATATATATATCAATGAAATACAAGAGCCAAATGCTTTCAAACTTTTGAGCTTGGAGGTACATTCAATTTTTGAAATCCGTCACTTGTTGGGAGGTATCAGAGCTCAAAGTGTTGAACTGCACAAGCTGGAGAATCTGTCGATGTCTGTCTAGAGTGTCACCATTTGTGGCGTGTATAAGGGCTCATGTTTGTTCAAGCACATTAGGCGAGAAAAAATATCAAATTACAAAAGCAGACAGTGTTTCACGGGCAAAGGCTGTCAAATTTTTGACTGCCTCATCTTTTGCCAGGTAAAAAACATTTTCCAAAATTGGAAAAAACTCTTGAGTTCTGCGTCTCAACATTCAGTAGGGATGAATTTTCAACCCTTTGAATTGCTTTAGTTTGTGAAGATCTCAGTTGGAGAAACTCTCAGCTTTTGGAGTGCCTCAACTCTGGGAAGGGATAAGTTTCAATTTTGTGAGCTTCAGAAACTGGAGACAATTTCAGCGTCACAATTTTTGGCGGGTACAAGGCTTTAAGTTTTTGGAACCCATGAAGCTGGAGAACCTCTCGAATTTTAAAATGTCTCAACTCTTGGCAGGCCTGTGTTTTCAGGTGTTTGAACTTCGTTTACTGGAGAACTTTTCGATAAACTCCTGAAAGGTCTCCACTTTTCACAAGTATGAATTTTATGTTTACACTTTTTGACTTGCAGAAGTTTAGAGACAGTACGCGCATATCCTTCCCCTAGAGATTACGCAGCTGGATTGCACCTTCATATTTTTTCATTTTTTCATGGAAACTCAATTCCCAAGGTAAGAAAAGTAAGGCTGCATGACATCAAGAGCGGAACGTGGTTCGTACCGTTCTAGCATATATCTGTTGGGTTGGAATGATATGAATTTTCAAGACTTAGGTGACCCCAGCCGCCCAAGCCTTGCCCACCACCACCTCTTGGTCTATTGACTATTGATAGCAGTTAGGAGTGACACGCCAAACTTTGGGAACTAGCAACGCTTTGTACGGCTTGGAAGCCAAAAAGGTTACCGTAGTTGGACACGTGAGAAATCAAACTGGATGCAGTTTGTTACATGAAAGACACATTTCATTTTATCTGCCAAAATAAAAACATAGAATCTGAAAAGATCAGCGGCCTGCAAAGACATGACCTGAAAAGACTTTACCTGGCAAAGATACCACCCGAAAAAAAACATGGATGATCTGAACAAAACATGGATGGACACGAAACTGCAAAATGATGGGGAGTATATACGTAAAAAGTAAACACACGCACAAAAAACGGATCTTAACCATGTTTTTCAGTTTGGAAGCAACAAACTAATGAACTTGGAAAAACTCATGTTAACTTAACACGTATGGCTTCAAAGGATATGCAAAGTTAAGTTCCAACACCCAGGGCTGTAATTCACTCTTATTTTGTAAATGTACCTAATGTTCAGTTCAAGCACGCAGTTTCAGTCAAATATGGCTGTCCCAAAACACCATTAACTATTGCCTGCACATGTCTCAACGCATGTACTTACAACCTGCCTGCTCGCACGTTCACCTATATGCCAGCCTGTACGCGCACCTGCTCACCTGCGCGCTCACCTGTTCACTCACCTGCGCGTTTTCGCTTGCGCGTTTTTAAGGTCATATTTGAGGCCAGAATATGGGCTTAAACATGAACATGTTCATGTTTAAGCCCATATTCTGGCCTCAAATATGACCTTAAAAACGCGCAAGCGAAAACGCGCAGGTGAGTGAACAGGTGAGCGCGCAGGTGAACAGGTGAGCGTACAGGTGCACCAGCATGTGCGCATGCAGGTGTGCATGTGAGCGCGCATATGGTTCCACATTCACTCTTTCACAGTTCAACACATGCCACCTCATATCACCATCCCTTTTTGTTTGACCCCATGTCTGCTGCGCTGGGCAGTCCGCTAGTCAAGCCAGAACCACGGCTTGAGTTGGTTCGGAGCATAACTAGGGAGATCGCACACTGAACATTGTAATATTACATGCTTGCGTGCGTTATATCTGGGTTACACCTGATGAATTCTTCGTAACCAGTGAGTATCCGGTCTTTTCATTTCTAGAGGAACCTTTCTTGTACATCTGTTTCACCACTTCTATGATTTGTGCGAAGAACTTATGTAAATTCATGTTTGTACTTTTACGAAATTGTACAAAAGAAAATGAGAAATGAGAAGGGCAATATTACATGAGGAATTGTTTAGGATGATGCTGATGCTGATCATGAAGCTCTTGAAACGGACGCTCTTGAAAAAAGTTCTTGCAATCTTACTGTATATCTTGAGACGGAAGATCCTGAAAGGGAAGTTTGTGGAAAATGGTCTTGAAAGAGAAATCAAAAACGGATTGGACAAACATGATTCTGAAAGGAAAAGTCCTGACTCAGACAAAAAGAAACATCTGAAAAAGGAAACGCGTAACATGCTGTTGCTGAGAAAAAGTTTCCAGCTAGCTGAAATTTCTTTCATGGAAAACATGTTCATATACATATTAAATCTTCATCTCCGGCAAAGGATTGTAAAGAAAAAACGGTTTGGTTGGAAAAGGACATTTCCTGAACATAATGTATCCTGAGCACCATTGCTTAAGTAGAAAGCTGTCCCTCACTGTAGGTTCATATTGACCAGCTGGATTAAAACCACCCCTTGCCGTTGTATATATTATTGTTTTTTGTGCTTGGGACATGATGCAGGAACAACACACCAACCATGTTTCGAACAAAAAAAGTAAACTAGGTTGAGTTCACGAGTGTGTCTACCAACAAGACGCGTTTGATCTGGAAACCCTTTCATGTTTTTTTGGCCAATGTGAGTTCTACAAACTGTTGATGTTCTCAAATTGGAGAAATTCTCTGTTTGAAGGCCCTCAAATTTTGGGAGGTAAAGGTTTGGAAATGTTGAACTTGTTTGTTTTGAGAAGTTCCTCATTCCTGCAAATTTTTAATGTTGGTAGGCATAAAATTCACTTCCCTAAGTTTGGACAAACACTCACCTGGATCAGAGAAGCTCTCAGTTCCAAAAGCATGTCGGGATTTGGCAGGTGACAGTTTTTAAGTGATTGAGATTCTTGAATGTGAGAGCTCTCACTGGAGAAGATCTTAATCTCTGAGGTGTCTGAACTTTGGGAGAAGTTAACTTCAACTTTTTGAACTTTTGAAATTGGATAAGCTGTCACTTGCTGAGTTATCAACTTCTGGCAGGCATATACGCTTTCATTTTTTTTAGGCTTAAGATGCTGCCAGTCTCTCAGCACTTGGCAGGTATAAGTTTTTACATGTTGAAATCTTGGAGTTGGAGAAGCTGCCAGGTTCTGGAGATTCTCAACTCTTTGCTGGTAGATGCTTTCAAGAGTTTGAACTTGTTAAGTTGGAGAGGCTGTCAAATGCTGAAGCGTGCAATTTTGACAAGTATAGTAAAAGTTTACATGTTTGGTTTTCTTGACGTGATCAGGACAAGCCTTGAATTATGTTGTTTCTTTTTTCAAACCAGGAAGGTTTCACTTTTGGAACAAGTTAAGGAATTACATTGTTGGTAAATATATCTATGAACATGAATGATTTTTGAGGTTTTCTAGTTGTTTGATGTTTTTCTGTGATCTTGATTGTTTCATGGCTTTAATACTGTCTGCTTTTCTACATATTGCATGTGTTTTTTTGGAAATGCCTTCCTTCGCTGAATTGCCTAAATATTATGATGTTTGCTTTGCATCAAGAATCCAACCTAGTGAAACACATGAGCCAAGTCAAGTGCGTTCGACTGTTTGAGCTTGGAGAGACTATCAAGGTGGGAAGTGTTTCAACTTTTCGGGAAGAAATTATCAATCCTCAACTTGCTGAACTTATTGAATAGGAGAAACGGGCGAAGTGGCCAACTTTTGGCAGGAATAAGTTACGAGCATCAAGCATTCAAAAATAATGAGCTGGAGAAGTTCTCATGTTTCTGAAGTCTCGCTTTTGGACAGGTATAAACAGTGACATGTTCGGAAGTCTTTCTTTGATTTTGGAAACTCACAACGTAGCTCAACTTTGGGCAGGTGTGCATCTTCAAACGTCCAAACTTGTTAACTTTGGCGAAGCTCTTCATTGGAGAAGATTTCAACTTGTAAAGTGTTTCAACGTTCGGGAAAGAACAAATCACTGTTTGAATCTCCAAAATTGGAAAAAACTCTTGAGTTCTGCGTCTCAACATTCAGTAGGGATGAATTTTCAACCCTTGGAATTGCTTTAGTTTGTGAAGATTTCAGTTGGAGAAACTCTCAGCTTTTGGAGTGCCTCAACTCTGGGAAGGGATAAGTTTCAATTTTGTGAGCTTCAGAAACTGGAGACAATTTCAGCGTCACAATTTTTGGCGGGTACAAGGCTTTAAGTTTTTGGAACCCATGAAGCTGGAGAACCTCTCGAATTTTAAAATGTCTCAACTCTTGGCAGGCCTGTGTTTTCAGGTGTTTGAACTTCGTTTACTGGAGAACTTTTCGATAAACTCCTGAAAGGTCTCCACTTTTCACAAGTATGAATTTTATGTTTACACTTTTTGACTTGCAGAAGTTTAGAGACAGTACGCGCATATCCTTCCCCTAGAGATTACGCAGCTGGATTGCACCTTCATATTTTTTCATTTTTTTCATGGAAATTCAATTCCCAAGGTAAGAAAAGTAAGGCTGCATGACATCAAGAGGGGAACGTGGTTCGTACCGTTCTAGTAAATACCTGTTGGGTTGGAATAATATGAATTTTCAAGACTTAGGTGACCCCAGCCGCCCCAGCCTTGCCCACCACCACCTCTTGGTCTATTGACTATTGATAGCAGTTAGGAGTGACACACCAACCTTTGGGAACTAGCAACGGTATGTGCAGCTTGGAAGCCCAAAAAGGTTACTGTAGTTGGACACCAGAGAAATCAAACTGGATGCAATTTGTTACATGAAAGAAACATGTCATTGTATCTGCCAAGATAGAATCATAGAATCTGAAAAGATCAGCGACCTGAAAAGACTTTACCCAGCAAAGATACCATCTGAAAAGAAAAATTGTCCGGACATAGTCTGAAAAGCGATGATCTGAATAAAACATGCTTGAACACGAAGCTGCAAGATGATGTGAAGTACTGGAAAGGAACAGTTTACCACGACACACTATGGAAGTTGAAACATGTTTTAATGTTTGTTCGTTTTGGATCAAGTGTACATACTCCGCGCTCTCTGCACCACTTGCGCGCTCACTAGCGCACTACCCTGCGCGCGCGCACCTCTACCCGCAGTACGTTGCCAAATCTTCAAAAGAAACTGTTTACGCATTCCTGGGGCCAACTAAATTATAGCCGTCTCCATTGGCATGTTTGAAGATAAGCCCATATATGTTTGGCAAATTGTATGACCTTAAAAACGGAAAAGTGAAAGTGCGCACTTCTGCGGTGATCCGCGCGCTCTGCTCGCGCACTTGCGCGTTCACTCCCGCACCCCACTTGCGCATTTGCGCGTTCACCCGCGCGTTGGCACGTTCACTTTTCAAATCCTGCGCGCGCACATGCGCATTCCTCTTGCGCACCCCATTGCGCACCGCGCGTTTGCTACCCGCGCGCTCGCAGGCAAAATCTCAAAAAATTGCTTTTACGCACTTTCCAATCCAGCTTTTCTAACCCGATCTACTTTGGTCTAACTCTAATTTAGTTTAATCTAGCTTAGTGCAGTTTAGTCTAGTTTAATCTAATTTTGTCTAGTTTAAGGTAGTTTCACCTAGTTTAGCCTAGTATAATCTAGTTTAGTCCAGTTTAGCCTACTTCAACCTAGTTTAATCGAATATAGTCTAGTTTAGTCTACTTTGGTGTAGCTTGGCCTAGGTTTGTATTCCAATTTAGCCCAGCTTTTTTCCGGCTTAGTCTAGTTTAGCCTACTATCGCCTACTTCAGTCTCCTCAGTCTTCCTCAATCTTTTTTGGTATACTTTATTGTCGTTTAGTCTAGTTTTGTTTTGTTTTGTAATCTAGTTTAGTCTTGTTTTGTTTAGTTTAGTCTAGTTTGGTCCAGCTTAGTTTAATTGAATCTAATTGAAACTATACTAGGCTAGTTTAGTCTATTTTCAATTACTTTAATCTTCTTTAGTCTACTTTAGTCTTGTGTAGATTACTTTAGTCTACTTTTAGTCTACGTTGGAACAACTTACAGTAGTCTAGTTTAGCAAAGTAAGTCTAGTTTAGTCTGATTTGGCCTAGTCTAGTTTAATCTAATTTAGTCTAGTTTAAGATTAGTCTAGATTAGTCTAGTTTAGCTTAATTTAACCTAATTTAGTCTAGTTTTGTCTACTTTTTGCCTACTTCAGTCTACTGTAGTGTACTTTAGTCGAATTGAGCCTATGAGTCCACTCTAGTCTAATTTAGCTTAGTTTAGGTTAGTCATGTTTAAACTCAGTTAAACTAAACTCAACTATTCTAAACGAGGCTAACCTAGATGAAACTACGTTAAATAATATATACATTGAAATAGACTAAACTAAGCTAAACTAGACTACACTAGACTAATCCAAATTAAGCTGAACCAGACCAAATCAGATGAAAATAGATTAATCTACTGTAGACACTAGTTTTAAGTAGATCAAGTTAAAATAATCTGACCAAACTACACTCAACTAGGCAAGACTACCAGTTTCTCAATCTGTTTGTTCCCTTTTGCGTTCTTCGCTTTCCCTTTTTCTTTCTATGTTCTCGGCCATCTTCCGGCTATTTAGTAACCTGCTTTCTTCCTTGCCCTCCTGCACCTATTTTTTTCCGCTTCTACGTCTTCTTCCCTGTTAAAACCATGTTTTTCTTGTGCTTTCTTTCTGCTTTTGCTTTCTCGTCTAACATCTTCCTTTTTTCTTCTTCTCACTCTTCTTTCCCTTCCCCAATTCCAAACTCTCCCTTCTCCTTTTTTCGTTTCTCTGTTTCTGTTAATCTTCCTCTTCCAATCTTTCTTCTTTGGCGTTTTGCATGTGTTTCTTCCTTGTCTGCTTTCTTTTCCTCTCTCCTTTTCACTGGTCTTGTTTCTTCTTTTGCCCCACTATGCCCGGGCTTTCCGGTTCTGCTTCCTCATCCTGGCTGCATTTCCTTTCCAAGAGAAGGAAGAGGGGAGAAGGAACATGGTAATAAAAACAAAGGAAGAGAACAGGAAAGGTACAGTTGAAAGAGAAAAAGTAGTGTAATAGCAAAAAGGAAAGTGTTGCGAAAAAATAAAACATAACGGAGGAGCTCGATAAAAACGACGTGAAGTTGGAATAAGAAAACGAAAATGAGATTGCTAAAGCAAAGAGGGGGCTGCCAAAAGAACCCTGGAAGGAAGCGAAGGGGGAGAAGAAAATTGAACAGAAATCAAAAAGGAAGAGAGCAATAAAAAGAAATTTGAAGTGCAAAAAGTAGTGAAAGAGTAAAAGGGATAGCGTTACGAAACCGGAGAAACATGGAACAAAAATAGGACCTATATATAATGGGAAAAAAGTATGTCGTTTTGGAAGCGTTTTGGGGAGTGCCCAAAAATGTATGTCGGTGCTACGTTGCCCCAGAATCTGGCCCCAGGCCCCAGAACCCCTCAGAATCACTTTTTGACACCTTGGACCTCCTGGTCAAGTGGGAATCTTGGAATCTTACAACAAATAAATACTTGGTGATTTGATTTGTTCACTCAATGCGGTTCTGGTTAAGAATCCGAAACGTATGACATAGGACATATGACATCAAAAAAATATATAGATATAATTATATATATTTACATTCTACGTCATTTAACAATCATTACCTGTAATTCTCCTACCTCCTACCTTTTGAGCAACTAAAAGGCCAGTACCTGCACCCGGGTACCCAGTACCATTCCCAAATGCAGGGTATATGATTTGCGGATGCTGATATTACATACCACTCCTGCTAGCTGCAACCTGCTGCCTTCACTATCAAATTTCCAACTGTCAATGCATGTTTTCTGTCAATGGGATAAAAACAAGTATGGGGCTACGGCTATGGCAGCGGCAATCAGGTGAGCTCTCAGTGACTGCAAATGAAATGCTGAAATTCATTGACCTTTGAAGCTGCCCTTAAACAATATATGAACACACATTGGTTTCATATGTGAACCCTGAAAACACATATACAAAGACATTCGCTTTTTAGACAGCCCTCAAAATCTTTAAAAAATAACATATTTTTTTCTACATAGGGAAAACATACTTTTTTCTCCTTAATTGTGGGACTGCCTCTCTGGCTGGCTGGAACTCATAAAAATTGGTGAAGGTAAATAAGAAGGGAAACAACAAGGAAGGCCCCGAACTGGCAATGGAAGTGGAGAAGCAAACAAACAAATGACAAGGAAAACGAAGCAATCAACGGATAAGAAGCTGCATTTTGGCAAAAAACAGGAAAGATAAGGAAAAGAAGAAAAGAGAAGAGACAGAGACAGGAACGTAACACGGAAAACCGTAGAAAAAAACAAATCAGTTAAATGGCTCAAATTATGTATTTTTTTAGGTTATTGAAATGATTTGGTGACCATTCTGGCATCTTTTTCAATTTTTGGTCATTCTGGCTATTTTGGCAAATGTTGGATATTTTTAGCAGTTTTGACCAGTTTTGGCTATTTGTCGAGTTTGGTCACTTTAGCCACATGTGGCAATTCATGGCAAAAATTGCCATGTTTGCCTATTTTGACATATGTTGACTATTTGCTAATTTTGGTCAGTATTGCCAAGTTTGGCAATTGTTCGCCGTTTTTGCATTTTAGCACGTTTTGCAATTTTGAGCAATTTGTTGATTTTGGTCATTTTGGCAATTTCGACCGACTTTAGCCAATTTTGTAAATTTGAGCCCTTTTAGCAAATTTTATTATTTGTCGATTTTAGTCAAATTGGCTAATTTTAGCAAATGTTGTATTTTTATACATTTTGGCAGAGTTTCACCATTTTGACATTTTGAACATTTTTTGTATTTTTGGTTATCTAGATTCGAGAAGCCTGTGGGCAGAGGTTTCTAGTATGTACCAGGGGGTCTGTGGCAAGCTTACTTTAGAATCGCGTGGAACTTATGCGTTTGTAATTGAAGTTGCAAATCAACTTGCCGAGGCATAAGTCTGTTTTTAACTTCATAAGTGCTTTCCTAAGTTGTATGTTTTTTTTATGGAAGTTAGAACTGATTTAGGTAGTTGTAAGCATAGTTATGTGGTTGAGTTAAGAAAATAAGAAACTACTTAGCTTGTGTTCAAAAACATTGTTTTTCGGAATGTTGTGTAAGTAGTGCATGTTTTTTTGTTTTTTTGGGGTTTGTGGTCGCTGTGTGATATCACCTGCATGTGTGAGTGGCAGCGATGGCTCAAATTGAAAAACAAATAGTGTCTTCCCAAAAGTTTCTTGCTGGCTTGACGTCGCTGCCGCACTATGCAGAGCTCCGGACAGATTGCGGAGCTGCATGGTTTAGCGGTGCCAAAGGGAGAGCCGCCAGACAGTGCGAGACAGATTGGTGGTAAGTGAAGCAAGTCCGCGGGTGTCCGCGCGTGTCCGCGGGATGTTAGGATGAGTAGCTTTGTCCGCGACCTTAGTAGCAAAGTCAATAGAGATGGAAAAGGTTTGTCCGCGGAAGTGTGAGACGTGTTGTCCGCGGGTGTCCGCGGACAGATCGAGGCATCAGTCATCTTCCACATGTTTAATTTTTCCAAACTCCAAATTTGGTTTGTTTTTCAGTTAATCCGTTATTTTTTCCCGTGGCTATTTTTCAAAACTCTGTCATTTTCCATCCGCCGGTTGAAGAGTTGCCACGCTGTGACAGTGCCGCCTAGAATGCAATGACAAAAAACACACCGTTTTCCTCTTGTTGTGGTAGAAAAAAAGGAGCGCAAGCCGCAAAAAAAAAACCTAAACAACATAACCCAAAAAAACGATACACAAAAGTTATGAAACTTAAAACACAACTTAGCCACCCCTCAACATAAGTTCAAGTTAAGTTCCTTTCTAAGTTCATAAGTATACACGACACGCTAATGTGTCGCGACATAATCCTTGAGATGGGACGAATCCCTGCGATGGTGTCGGCATAATCTGCCGTGCACCCAGTACACACTGCTGAATTGGGTTTCAAATGGACCGTCATGTGAATGATCTCTTTCTCGCCTTGAATTCGTTAGAAACCTGGCCAACACTGCTGATAGAAATTGCACCCTACTCTACCAAACCGCTGTAACACAGGAGAGCTTCCAAACTAGCTCGGCACTATGCTAGCACAATGCATAAAAAAAACGCTGAAAAAAATAGCACAATGCCATGCCGATGCAACACATGAACACTCCCGAATCAGCTCGATGCCATGCAAGTACAATACATAAAAAAAATAAAGTATGGCTCAGTGCCATGCCGATGCAACACATGAAGGCTCCCGAATCAGCTCAATGCTATGCACGTACACTATATGAAAATTTCCAAACTATAGCTCAATGCCACGCCAATGCAACATGAAAGATCCCCAATCAGCTCCGTGCCATGCCAGCGCACCACATGAAGGTTCCCAAATGAGCTCAGTGCCATGCCAGCGCAATACATGAAGGCTCCCGAACAAGCTCGATGCCATGTCAGCGCAATACATGAAGGCTCCCGAACGAGCTCAGAAACTCAAAAACTGCTAGTGCAAGCAATAGCGGAGACAGTACGAAATGTGAAATTCTTTCTTAAAGCAAACAGCGTCATAGAGGAACAGAAATCAACAGTTCGATTCGCAGGTACGTGCAGTTGATCAGACTGCATATCCTCTCCAAACATCAGTAGCTTCGTTGGCCACGGACTGATGAATGGAGCCGTGGCCCCCTGCTCTGCTTTCACTTCAAGGGTTAAAGTACGTATGTATATGAGTTTGTGCCTGCATGTGATAGAAGGATTCACACACACACACTGTACTTGTCGTTTTGAATTTGTTTGCTGACCCCATCTGGCCTCTTTGATAAGCGTTCGTAAATATATCAAAATAGCGAAGACATTTTAATTTTCAACCCGTTTCAATTTTGATTATACCCTTTTTACCTTTTCGAAATCTCCGCCTCATGACGAGGTTCAGAAGCTTGTGTGGACACTTTCCACGTGACCTTCACTCCAGAGTCAGTGGAAGCTGTGCATCAAGCTGGCCAAAAGGTTGCCTCCAAATGGCAGTCGGGATTTGACATCCGGAAGAAAGTTGGCAGAACCAATCAGCGCAGAAAGCGCACCTTCAAATATGTGGCTGAAGCTGTCAAGTAGAAGCAGAACAAAAAGAAGGCAGATGGCCAGAAATCTGGCGCAACAAAAGCAAAGTCAAAGAAGACCAAGAGCAAGAAAGACAAGACAAAACTTCCACCCAGTGTGGCAGACCAGGAACAGAACCAGGGTGATGATCAGGACCTTCCTGGTCCGGTTTCCTACTCGAGGTCTGCCAAGGGAGAGAAGCAGATTCGAAAGTCCATGTGTCGAATGCTCGCAATGGACAAAGTTGCATTTCCCTCCAAGCCCATGTTCGGTGTGGACACGGGGCTTTGTCGTCTCAAGATCTTCGGCTGTAGTTCATCATTTTTTTTGTTGTTGTCGTATTTTTTGGCTGGGACAAGAAGGCAGATGAAATCCATTGAATTCCCAATCCTTTGAGATACAGATATTAAATCAAAATCTACACGAACCTACCCAAATTATTCAGATAATATTTCGATATATTTCGCTATATTTTTACATATTTGGACATATATTTGTTTGCTCATATTTGGACATATATTTGTTTGCTCATGATGGGGCCAAAATATGTGCTATTTGGCACTGATGCTCTTGGTCTTGCGGTTTTAAAATGCAAGACAATTCAGTTCCAAAAATTCCCGAACTCTTGATTATCATGTTTTGCTATTTTTTCATTTTCTTGTACCACATCCCAGCTCCAAAGGCATGAAGCTGCGCAACATCGCACGTGGGCGCAGGTGCTGGATTCGGCGCCATCTTTTTTCAACGCAGAATTTCCTGCGCGTGGCAAAATGTGGGGGTCACAAGTCCACGCCCATTTCGATTTGATGCAAGGGCAGCTCCTCAAATCTTCGAGGGCTGCATGGTCAAGGACTATCCGTGGCATTTGCAAAATTTCCAACTTCTCAAAGCCAAAGGCATAGGGAAGCAAACAGAAGCGATGCGAAGCCCTTGGGATCTGAAGAAAGGAAAAAAAAGGCAGCGTCTTTTGTTCGAGGCATATGACGTGCTGGTAAAGATGTAAAGATGTTGGTGTAGTTTTGTTGCATTTTTTTGGCTATGTGAAAAAAAACAAAATTTATGTAAATTTATCTTTATCCACGAAATATGGATGACAACTTTTTGTTCCCTGTGGCATCCAAGTTCATGAAGCCTACTTCTGGCATTTTATGGTGCTCTGAGGATAGCCTCAGTGCTGCTGATTTTATAGGAGCCATCTCGTTTCATGGTACCCCAAGTTGATGGGATACACCCCCCACTAAATGTTTATGTTTGAGGGTCACCACCCCAAAATATAGTCCCCAGGGGGGTCCATACCCCCATTTTATACCTATAAAATCTCAGGCTAGAACCCCCTGGGGGGGTTTGAGACCATCATGTGTTTAGGAAGAAAAGTTGGTTGGCTTTCCTTCCTTAAATATGATCGCCGATTGTATCAAATTTTTCAAATACGCTGAATATTGATTTGGTAATTCCTGCACATTGCGTCAATATGGAATTTCACAGTGTCTGTGTGTGTATTGGGGTTAGAGAAAGAACGCGTGGGACATGTGCAAGCATATTGGATATGATGCATTATCAGCATGTGAGTCCATGAATTTTATTCCGCAAAGAGTGAGTGAGCTACCTTTTCTGAATGTGGTACAGCATTACATAACCCACGCGCTGTTGACAAAGTAGGTGCCATGTGCTAAAAAGCATTCCTCACAGTTTTGGATGAACATTGTGGCTACATGTTTTATTGTTTTTAAACTAGACTTCCTAGAAACCCTTCCAGATTCAACCTGCGGCCATGCATCTAGTGTGCCAAGTTGTAGTACTTGACATTGATATCAATATCATTGATTTTTAGCCGGCGCAAAATTCAAACAAATTGAACACAAGGAGAACGCAAAAACGATGGGGTCCTTGCAAGTTTTGGCATTCAAGCTCATCAACCTTTGGTGTGAAAGGCTTGACTGTGTATTCGAGCATGTCTGGCTTAACAGTTCTTGACGTAGCACCTCTGCCCAAGCTTCACCCACGAAATATCACCTTGTCATGGGTCAGCATGCGGTGCCTATACAAAAAAAAATGTTTATTACCGGACCGAGTAAATTTTCATAATTAGAGCTGGGCTTGGGGAATAATATCTGAGTAGAACAGCGCAATACTCATTTTGAAGCAAAATCCCAACCATATTCAATAGCGCGCCCGTTTGGTGACCTTAGTCTTGTTACTTTCTCTTAGGAAAAATAACATGTATATACACCTAATTAAACCTACCACTTTGTTGATTGGTGTTCCCAACCGGTCACCCGTTTTGCACATGTTGCTGACAAGAAACTTGCTTTAGGGCACATCATGAAGATGGTGACTGAGCTTATTTGCCAGTGATTCACAGGCTGGCAATGATTCCTTACAGTTGGCCCGAAAAGGTTAACAGGGGTTTAATGCACCCGGAACTATAATAGAAACCAATCTAGCGTGTCTTCCTTTCTCATTGCAGACATCCTGTTAGAAAAAATAGCTGTTGTTTACCATACAGGGTACCAAAATGTGCCAAACATCGATTCATGTAGACTATTCACATCAGCGGTGTTCAAGGCCCATCTGGTTGCAGTATGCTGGTTGCTTGATAGGGGCGCCCTGATAGTCCCCAATACACTGGCTGGTAAAGCCGCCCGCAATCTTCAAACAACAGAGGGTTTTGAACATCGCGGATTTGACATTGATTGCAGCATCTAGTTTGATGCGCACGTTTCAAACATGGCTAGGATGCACGCTGGACTCATGGTATTTCACAACGTGCGTGTTTGCAAAGGGGAGGTGAAGATAAAGGAGATACAGGACCTGTGATTGACACGTGCAAAAACTGGAATTGATATACACGTGGATCATGTTGTCAAGTCCATGCATTTTATGCAAAAACTGGTGATCGAAAAAAACATCATGTAGGATTAGAGCGGGACAGACAGATTCAGGTTGCTGTAGCTGCTCGTTGTCAATACGCAAGCCTACGTACTATGTCTTCACAAATTCGATGAAGACAATGTGTCTATGGGCAAGAATCTGTTCCAAACTAAGTGCGTTTAGAAGGGATCCAACGTGTCACAATCATCATTCAGCTGGCGCATAGTTCCAGCAGACCCACAGGCAGTTTAACAGTAAGCACAAAGAAGTTTTTGTACACCTTTGAATTCAATTTCACCAACCTTTGGCGTTAAAGGCTGCTCCGTGTACTCAAGCATGTCTGACTTGAGAGTATCTGACTTGCAGGCACTGTACGGTGGCATGCTTTAGTAAAAAGAAACGTCGCCTGCATTTCAATGATGCAACACCATATGCAAAGTGTGCAAAAACCAGTGGTAAAGTGCAAAGCATGCAAGCCAAAAGCTGAACACAAAATAATCATCGAAAATACCCAAAACAATCAATCAAACAGTCATAGCATCACAGCAAGAAACATTGCAAAACACACGCGAACAGATAGAGTCACACTGTCTAATGTGTGGGCCACGCCAGAACTAGAAGAGGCAACGCTGAACAATATGCAAGTGTCATCTGAAACACCCAGGTGCATCCAAAGTTTGGGAATGGACATGACGGTGAATTTGCTGGGCTTTCTGGTTCGGGGTAAGAAGGACCGGCTTTCCAAATTTGCAATGTAAATATTTTTCTGCGGGGTAAAGTTTTCAAGACCGCAACTCTTCTGCTTTGTCTCAATGATGCACGCAATCATCGTCTTCCTAACTAAGTTGTCGCGACTTTGTCAACACAGCGTCACCGCATTGTCGCCACATTGCCACCACATCGCCATCACATCGCCGCCACATGGCCGCCGCATCGCCGCCGCATTGCCACCACATGGCCGCCACATCGCCGCCACATCGCCGCCACATCGCCGCCACATCGCCGCCACATTGCCGCCACATGGCCGCCACATTGCCGCCACATTGCCGCCACATTGCCACCACATTGCCGCCACAGTGGCCGCCACAACTGCCACAGTGGCTGCCAATGTGGTGGCAATGTGACGACCACACGACGACGATATTTTTGACAACTTTGACAATGAAGGGACAATGACATGACGATGGAAATATCCTTCAATTTGAAATCTCTTCCTGGTCGTATCATGTCATGTCGCAGAAACAAAAAAAGTAACACGGCGACACGAAATTCATGGATCATCGCATTTGCAAGCAAAACGCAACCCCTGCTCTCCACCAAAGACCCAAAATCGTGCCGACGCACAGGCAAATAAAAACATGTTTTTTTGATGATGACACCGCACTGTTTGCCGTGTTGTTGCAAGGTCGTCGTCATGCAGCTGCCCCATATGATTGGTGTGATTTGAAATGACCGCTATATGGCCTTCCAATGCAGTCATCGAATGGGCCTTGATTCGTTTCAAGAGCCAAGCGCGTGTGACCTTGGGAAGATGCAAATCGGCACTATGTATGTGCTCAAAAAAGGAAAAGAGAAGTGACGCTAAATGGGTGTTTGTTTCCTGTGCTGGCAGCATTCAACTTGAATTGTGTTCGATCAATGGGCTTGAAACAACAGCAGTTTTTTTTGACAGCCCATGAGCTCTCATGTTGCTAAAGTCACAACTTGGACAAACGTAGTGAATCTCAATTCGGGGTTCTTTGATGTTTCTGTGCATCAATATATTCCGTCTCCAGGCAGGGGGGATAAATTCGCCGGACAATCCAGGAACAAATGGTTTATTATCTTTTTGATCCCCCGCCCTGTCCGGAGATGAACCCCTCTTGTCTGGAGCTAGGGGTGCGGAAAAACATGTTTCCTGTCTATGTGGCTTTTGAAACCCCTTCCTATATGTCTCCCCTTTGTAGGAAGCCGCTCCGCGGGGTTCTTCCCCAGTCCCGCTGTACGTTTGGATTTTCGGTTCCAATTTGCATCTAGAGGAGGGGAATTTACGCTACACTTATTCAAAGAAAGAAAAGTTGATTGCTTTTTTCCGTCACAATTATCGCCGGTTGTATCAAATATTTCAACCACTTGCTCGCTTGATTTTGGCAATTCCTGCGCATTACGTCCATTGTATTTCGCGAGATCTGTGTGCGTGAACTGGTTTTAGATGAAGAAACACGTTGGACATGTGCTTGCACAGGGTATGACGCATTATCAGCATGTAAGCCCTTTTTTCTCAGAAAACAGTGGGTGAACCAGATTCCTTTTGTAATCCCTTCCTCCTAATACTAAACCCCCCCCCCTAATACAAAACACGGCAGGTAGTTTTTAGTATTAGGGGGGTATTTATTATTAGGGAACCAAATCGAAGTCATGTTAATTAATTAATTAAATTTCCTTATATAACGCAATTAAAATATTGCCAAAAATGGCAGTTCGAAGCTTACCCCTAATACTAAATTAAAACCCTTAATACTAAAAACTATTTTTTCCGATCTCAAAATCAATTAAATTTCCTTATATAACGCAATTAAAATATTGCCAAAATGGCAGTTCGAAGCTTACCCCTAATACTAAATTAAAACCCTTAATACTAAAAACTATTTTTTCCGATCTCAAAATCAATTAAATTTCCTTATATAATGCAATGAAAATATTGCCAAAAATGGCAGTTCGAAGCTTACCCCTAATACTAAATTAAAACCCTTAATACTAAAAACCATTTTTTCCGATCTCAAAATCAATTAAATTTCCTTATATAACGCAATTAAAATATTGCCAAAAATGGCAGTTCGAAGCTTACCCCTAACACTAAATTAAAACCCTTAATAATAAAAACCATTTTTTCCGATCTCAAAATCAATTAAATTTCCTTATATAACGCAATTAAAATATTGCCAAAAATGGCAGTTCGAAGCTTACCCCTAATACTAAATTAAAACCCTTAATACTAAAAACTATTTTTTCCGATCTCAAAAGCAATTAAATTTCCTTATATAACGCAATTAAAATATTGCCAAAAATGGCAGTTCGAAGCTTACCCCTAATTGCTAGAGTAGCCAGGCAGCTTGGAGTGAGGGATTGGGACTAGGCCCCCCTAATACTAAACACCCCGGGGTGAACTAGTTTTTAGTATTAGGGGGAAGAACCCACAAATGGTAGGTTGATTTTTAAATTGTTTTTAAAGGGGATCAATTAAAAGTCAAATTGGCCAAACTGAAATTTTCGGAAATTGGAGATGGATGCCTGTTTTTAGTATTAGGGGGACGTTTAGTATTAGGAGGAAGGGATTACATAACCTGCGCCTGCGCTGTTGACGATGTAGATGCTATATGCCCAAATTTTCAAGATGAAACTGGGACTACATGTTTCATATTTACATGACTTCCTAGAAACCTTTCCAGGTTCAACCTGCGACCATGCATCTAGCGTGCAAAGTTGTAGTGCTTGACATTGTTATCATTGATACCTACGAAGAAAAGAAAGGTATTCTTGTATATTTGGTCTTGCAAATTTCTTCCCGCCGTCAGCTACTTCCAGGGGATCAATTCCATCGTCGGTTCTTCTCATAGTTCCCCCAGTGTGCTTCACCCTTCACCTGCACACAGCTGAGCACGAGGCCAAATAAGCTACATGGCAGCCGCCGCACGCAACACTGCAAACCACCCGCAACACCCACGCTACACTACACGCAACACTACACGCTACACTACACGCAACACTGCCGAAATGCTGCCAGGCGCAGCATTTCGGGTCAGGACAGAAAAATCGTCTTGTATTTTCAAACCTTCTACGAAACCATCATAGAGACCTGGAAACAACGATAAGATCCTAGTAACAACGATAAGAATGGTAAGATCATCACGATAATTCTTCTCTATATATACCTTTAGAATATATTTGAACATCTAGGTCACAGAGACAAAAAGAAAACGATGATTTCTCCTCTTTTTCCTCTCTTTTTCCTCTCTTTCTTTTTCCTCTCTTTTTCCTCTCTTTCTTTTTCCTCTCTTTCTCCTCTCTTTTTCCTCTCTTTTTCCTCTCTTTTTCCTCTCTTTTTCCTCTCTTTCTTTTTCCTCTCTTTTTCCTCTCTTTTTTTTTCTTTTTCCTCTCTTTTTTTCCTTTCTTTTTCTTCTCTTTTTTTTTCCTTTTTCCTCTCTTTTTTCCCTTTCTTTTTCTTCTCTTTTTTTGATTTCCCGGTACGAAACGATGATTTCTCGGTACGAAACGATGATTTCTCGGTACGAAACGACGATTTCCGGTACGAAACGATTATTTCTCCTCTTTTTCCTCTCTTTTTCTTCTCTTTTTTTGATTTCCCGGTACGAAACGATGATTTCTCCTCCTTTTCCTCTCTTTTTTTGATTTCCCGGTACGAAACGATGATGTCTCGGCACGAAACGATGATTTCTCGGTACGAAACGACGATTTCCGGTACGAAACGATGATTTCTCGGCACGAAACGATGATGTCTCGGCACGAAACGATGATTTCTCAGTACGAAACGACGATTTCCGGTACGAAACGATGATTTCTCCTCTTTTTCCTCTCTTTTTTTTCCTCTCTTTTTCCTCTCTTTTTTTTGATTTCCCGGTACGAAACGATGATTTCTCGGTACGAAACGACGATTTCCGGTACGAAACGATGATTTCTCCTCCTTTTCCTCTCTTTTTCCTCTCTTTTTTTGATTTCCCGGTACGAAACGATGATTTCTCGGTACGAAACGATGATGTCTCGGCACGAAACGATGATTTCTCGGCACGAAACGACGATTTCCGGTACGAAACGATAATTTCTCCTCTTTTTCCTCTCTTTTTTTTCCTTTCTTTTTCCTCTCTTTTTCCTCTCTTTTTCCTCTCTTTTTTTTCTTTTTCCTCTCTTTTTCCTCTCTTTTTTTCCTTTCTTTTTCATCTCTTTTTTTGATTTCCCGGTACGAAACGATGATTTCTCGGTACGAGACGATGATTTGAAACGACGATTTCCGGTACGAAACGATGATTTCTCCTCTTTTTCCTCTCTTCTTCCTCTCTTTTTTTTTTTTTTCCTTTCTTTTTCTTCTCTTTTTTTGATTTCCCGGTACGAAACGATGATTTCTCGGTACGAAACGGCGATTTCCGGTACGAAACGATAATTTCTCCTCTCTTTCCTCTCTTTTTCCTCTCTTTTTTTTCCTTTCTTTTTCCTCTCTTTCTTTTTCCTCTCTTTTTCCTCTCTTTTTTTTTGTTTTTTCCTCTCTTTTTCCTCTCTTTTTTTCCTTTCTTTTTCTTCTCTTTTTTTGATTTCCCGGTACGAAACGATGATTTCTCGGCACGAAACGATGATGTCTCGGTACGAAACGATGATGTCTCGTATCGCCGTTTCGTACCGAGAAATCATCGTTTCGTACCGGGAAATCAAAAAAAAGAGAGGAAAAAGAGGAGAAATTATCGTTTCGTACCGGAAATCGTCGTTTTGTACCGAGAAATCATCGTTTCGTGCCGAGACATCATCGTTTCGTGCCGAGAAATCATCGTTTCGTAGCGGGAAATCAAAAAAAGAGAGGAAAAGGAGGAGAGGAGAAATCATCGTTTCGTGCCGAGAAATCCTCGTTTCGTACCGGGAGAGGAAAAAAAAGAGAGGAAAAAGAGGAGAAATCATCGTTTCGTACCGGAAATCGTCGTTTCGTACTGAGAAATCATCGTTTCGTGCCGAGACATCATCGTTTCATACCGAGAAATCATCGTTTCGTACCGGGAAATCAAAAAAAGAGAGGAAAGAGAAAGGAAAAAAAGAGAGGAAAAGGAGGAGAAATCATCGTTTCGTAGCGAGAAATCATCGTTTCGTGCCGAGAAATCAAAAAAAAGAGAGGAAAAAGAGGAGAAATCATCGTTTCGTACCGGAAATCGTCATTTCGTACCGAGAAATCATCGTTTCGTACCGAGACATCATCGTTTCGTACCGAGAAATCATCGTTTCGTACCGGGAAATCAAAAAAAGAGAGGAAAAGGAGGAGAAATCATCGTTTCGTACCGGAAATCGTCGTTTCGTACCGAGAAATCATCGTTTCGTACCGAGAAATCATCGTTTCGTACCGAGACATCATCGTTTCGTGCCGAGAAATCATCGTTTTGTACCGGGAAATCAAAAAAAGAGAAGAAAAAGAAAGGAAAAAAAGAGAGGAAAAAGAGAGGAAAAAGAAAGAGATGAAAAGAAAGAGAGGAAAAAGAGGAGAAATTATCGTTTCGTACCGGAAATCGTCGTTTCGTGCCGAGAAATCCTCGTTTCGTACCGAGATCATCGTTTCGTACCGAGAAATCATCGTTTCGTACCGGGAAATCAAAAAAAGAGAGGAAAAAGAACGGAAAAAGAGGAGAAATCATCGTTTCGTACCGGAAATCGTCGTTTCGTACCGAGAAATCATCGTTTCGTACCGGGAAATAAAAAAAAAGAAAGGAAAAAAAGAGGAGAAATCATCGTTTCGTACCGGAAATCGTCGTTTCGTACTGAGAAATCATCGTTTCGTACCGGGAAATCAAAAAAAGAAAGGAAAAAGAGGAGAAATCATCGTTTCGTACCGGAAATCGTCGTTTCGTACTGAGAAATCATCGTTTCGTACCGAGACATCATCGTTTCGTACCGAGAAATCATCGTTTCGTACCGGGAAATCAAAAAAAGAGAGGAAAAAGAAAGGAAACAAAGAGAGGAAAACGAGAGGAAAAAGAGGAGAAATCAATCATCGTTTCGTACCGGGAAATCAAAAAAAGAGAGGAATAAAAAAGAGAGGAAAAAGAGGAGAAATCATCGTTTCGTACCGAGAAATCATCGTTTCGTGCCGGGAAATCAAAAAAAAGAGAGGAAAAAGAGGAGAAATCATCGTTTCGTACCGGAAATCGTCGTTTCGTGCCGAGAAATCATCGTTTCGTACCGAGACATCATCGTTTCGTACCGAGAAATCATCGTTTCGTACCGGGAAATCAAAAAAAAGAGAGGAAAAAGAGGAGAAATCATCGTTTCGTACCGGAAATCGTCGTTTCGTGCTGAGAAATCATCGTTTCGTGCCGAGACATCATCGTTTCGTGCCGAGAAATCATCGTTTCGTACCGGGAAATCAAAAAAAAGAGAGGAAAAAGAGGAGAAATCATCGTTTCGTACCGGAAATCGTCGTTTCGTACTGAGAAATCACCGTTTCGTGCCGAGACATCATCGTTTCGTACCGAGAAATCATCGTTTCGTGCCGGGAAATCAAAAAAAAGAGAGGAAAAAGAGGAGAAATCATCGTTTCGTACCGGAAATCGTCGTTTCGTACCGAGAAATCATCGTTTCGTACCGAGACATCATCGTTTCGTACCGAGAAATGGTGATGATAATCCAATATATTCAATAGGTGGGGGTTTTAGTGGGCAGGACAAATTGCATGGCCATGTTTTTCCCCAAGGAATGCCGAGTTTCACCGGAAGCATTTACTCTGTGACCGATACAAGGATTTGCCCGCCATCAATCCCAGAGCCAAGCCACCGGTACTGGGAGGCCGCCCTGTGGTACGTCGAGGTCAAGAAGTCCTTTTCAAGGCTCTCTTTACGAAAAATCGTCTGCTTTTTTCTTTCTCTCTTCCCACTGCCCACACGATAATTACAGTACTATCTATGTACATAAATGATCATAAATGATCCTGGTTGCAATTTCCTCTACAGAATCAGGGGTGTTGACACCCAAAAGGCCTTTGATTCTGTAGAGCCAGTCTGCACCCCTACTGTGCTACAAAATCAAGGACCATGGGCTGGCAAACGCCCAAAAACCACCCATTTTGGACATTTTTGGACTGTATCCTGATAGGTCCCTGATTCTGTAATGGGGGCCCCAACGTTGCGCAAAAAGTGCACAACACCTTACATTTTGGGAAGGGGATTGATTTTGTAGAAATAAGGCTGGTGACGTCCTAAGGTCTTTGATTTTGTAGTCAAAGCATGCTCATCAATGTCATATCTTCAGATCTTGATTCTGTAGTGGTGAGAGATGGTGAGAGGGAATGACTTTGATTCAATACCAGGGGTAGCCTTTGCAGTAGGAAAGGTTTATGTGGCAGCCTATCGTGGCCTTTACAAAATCATACACCAAAGTGTCACCCTCTACAAAATCAAACTCCAAGGGGGAACCACAGATTGGCCTTTACAAAATCAAGGTTCTATTTTATGAGCTCCAGGGTCCTGGGTTTTTGGAATTTTGAAGATGCCCCCGGCATTCCTGAGATTTTTGCCCTAAGAATCTTTAAGGGCCTACTTATCTTGAGAAACCCTCAAGAGTTAATATATACATATATATATATATATACAAACTCGTAGGTTTTCAGAAGGATTTTTGCTTGAGATCTTAGAGCCTGATTCTGTAGAGCAGATGTAGGGGGGCCACTTGTGAAAAGGTGAGACTTTGATTTTGTAGAGCGACCTATCTGAAGAAAACCTAGCGAGTTCATACTTGTAAAAACTTGTAAAACTTGTAAGCACATTCATGCTACAAAATCAAAGGCAGGCACTTGGGACTTTGGATGGGGCTTGTAAAACTTGTAAAACTTGTAAACACATTCATGCTACAAAATCATAGACCGACAAAACATCTCTACAGAATCGACTCTAACACAAATCTCTACAGAATCATCCTTGGATGTTTTTACTCAACAAGTGATATTTTTTCAGTTGTTTTGATGCTTGCACATGTGAGGTTCTTGATTTTGTAGAAAACATGAATTTTCCTTGTCAGATATTTTTGCTGTGGAAGGTTCTTGATCTTGTAGAAGGTAACTCCCTACCCTGGACAGCAGAGATTGATTTAGTAAAGTGGACACAGGGTGCCTGACGTTGGGGCCCTCTACAGAATCAGGGGTCCCAGCACCCCCCCCCAAATTGCAAGGGGGATCATAAATGTACGTATAATAGTCTATAATAATATGTCTTTCTGTCTTTCATATTCTTCCTTTGCTTTCGATCGCTGCCCCAAAATACCAACACCCCATAACTTGGCACCAGCTACGGGGCTGATGAACATGGTTTCATCATGCTGGACCACCGTGCTGAGGCTCACGGAGATGTCGTTTCGTCCATGACTTCAGCAGACGTTGAAGTTCTTGGTGCCAAAACTCCCATCGGTTCCATCAGCGCCAGGATTCAAGGTGAGGAAATCTATCTGAATTTGCCAGCTTTGGCTCCTGTCGGTGAGTACGAGTTGCGCCTCTACAAAGCAAAGAAGATAGTGGCGACCTTCCCCTTCATTGTTGCGTTTTGGAGCGCATTCAATCATTTTTTTGATTTGTACAATTCGGATTAGGCAAAGTAGGCAGTGGCATGTTTCTGTTTGCGTTTCTGAGAAAGTATGGACGCTGAAGTCCGAGTTTGGCAGCATTTGCAGGTCTTTAACCCTTTTACTTGCTCGGACTGTCCAGAGCATTCGGACGAGCACGAGGAGTATGTCGCAGGTGATGAAGGCTTGCTTTGGCAAGGTTTGTCGGATGACCATACAGCCGCTTGGAACTTTTTCGGACCGGTTGCAAAAGGAACAGTGGCACAGAATGAAAACCTGTTCTGACCTTTTCAGTTATCGAAAGAGAGTAACTTCTTTCCATTTTTTTCCTCGATGCCGGCTTCATGAGGCCAATATTTGGCACCATGAGCCCTTTCGGGCAGCAAATCTCCTGCTGCTCGGCCAGATGATTGGGCCTAAAAAGCACCGTTTGTTTTTGGATGTTTTTGGTAATTAGATGTTCCCGACTCACGGCAGTTGTAATCCAAGACTTGAAGAAGCATGTCTTGGATTGTGGTCTTGGATTTTTCATAGCTTCTTGCCATAGCAACATATGTTTTGTCAATATTTGTTCCTTCTTGCAGCCATGAACCTGAGGATCAGTCTGGCGCTGCTTCAACATTTGCCACTGGAGTTGCGAGGGGATGTGGTGGCCGTGTCACGATTCCTGACCAATGCAGTTGGGGAGAAGGTGAGGTGCAGAAGCTGGTGCCAGGATAGTTGATATCGCAGAACCACGTACCTTCGAATGGTTGATGTGTGCAGTGTGTACCAATAGTACCGCACAAGGCGGTGGCGGAAGTTTCAAAAATAGGAAACCTATAGGGGAGATTGGTTGTTGTGAATCACGGATGGCAGAGCGAATCCACTGATGGACCGAAAGGTGCTTGCGGTCTCCTCTCTCTCTCTCTCTCTCTTTCTCTGACTATCTACCTACCTACCTTTTTCTCTATCTATCAATTATCTATCTATCTACCTACCTACCTATATCTATCTATCTATCTATCTATCTCTCTCTCTCTCTCTCTTTCATCTGTCTATCTGTCTAGCTGTCTACCTGTCTATCTGTCTATCTATCTATCTATCTGTCTATCTGTCTACCTGTCTATCTGTGGTGCAGTGTCATTCAGTGTAATGTAGTGTAGTGTAATGTAGTGTAATGTAGTGTAGTGGAGTGTAGTGGAATGTAGTGTAGTGTAGTGTAATGTAGTGTAGTGTGTTTTAGTGTAGTGTAGTGGAGTGGAGTGTAGTGGAGTGTAGTTGTAGTTGTAGTGTAGTGTAATGTAGTGAAGTGTACTGGAAGGTAGTGTAGTGTAGTGTATTGTAATTTAGTGGAGTGTAGTGTAGCAAAGCGAAGCGAAGCGACATCTGAACCTCCAAAAGTGGCGCGAACATGTGGTGTCTTGTACATTTTGACTTCGAAATGTGCTTCGCGCCACAACGGCGTGCACTTTTTCGACATCTCAACTTCCAAAAGTGGTCCGAAGCTGGTGTGTTTTGTGCATTTTGACTTCGAAATGTGCTTCGCGCCACAACGGCGTGCACTTTTTCGACATCTCAACTTCCCAAAGTGGTCTGAGAATGGTGTGCTTTGTACATTTTGACTTCGAA